AAGGAGAAGCAGGATACCCAGGGCTCGGTTTACACCTATCGCCATTTCTAGCCACTGGGGGACCATAGGCAGGGTAGGGGAACTCATATTAATGTTAAAAAACCTCATAAAGTGAAATTTTCATGCCATGGGACCTTTAACTACTTTAATTTACGAGTAGCTTAAGCTCCAGTTTCAGAGTAGCTTCCCCAATACTGCGCGGAAAGGTAAGTAAAATAGCTCACATGCACGCTCACATCCCCAGTTAACACGATCAACAATGGCATTCGGTGTGGCGTTATGACGTCATAAGGCTGCGCCGCCCTCCTGCGTCTGTGATTCGGCTGACAAAAAGGTGTGTGCTTTCAATCTTTTTAAAGTGTTTAAATCAATAATACTTATTTGGAGAATTGTATATAAAACTGTGCTTATCCTTATCCTTACCTAGTGAGATTACTGAAGGTTATTTTGTGAGAGTAAGGCGCATGAGTAACAGAAACGGTGCGTCTCATTTCGCTCCCTGCATCTGAATCAGTTTATCTTACCACGAGTTCAGTCACTGACGACTAGTGAATGAGAGCTTTTCGAAACTCCGAGTCAACTGAATCAATTTCATCGTAAAATGATTCATTGATTCGAAACGCTCGAATCAGCACTCGCAGACGACACACTGCTGCTCAAAATACAAACGCAAATTTTACAAACAAACTGCAAATGTTTTCATCAGAGTATTGAAAATAACCTATAAATCAGTAAATGCCAAATATAAATCTGAATACGAATATGAACCTTCCATTTGATTTGTGTTTTTTTTATTTTTTTTATTAATTTGCACTCAAATTAATAAAAGGACATTTACTAGTTTTTTTTTTCTTTCTTTTTTTGTCCTTTGTGCTACTGAACTAAGGAGCTGATTGAGAAGCACCCAGAGATTTAGCTTGCATTTATTGCATTTATTTTTCTTTCTGTTAATTATTCTCTTCTTAAACAGGACAAAGTGTCCAAACACACAGAAAAACTCTTGGATTAACTGAGATCCACGTGACACACGATAATAAAGATGGCGTTTATTAAAGAGGAGAGTGAAGAGATGAAGATTGAAGAAACGTTCAGAGTCAAACATGAAGAAACTGAGGAACAAACAGGTTGGTTTATTAAAATGTCCAGATCTACAGAAATTAATTATATATTTTTAAAAATATGTGAGTTTAGTCATTTAACATTTGATTTGTATAATACTAAACCCCAAAAAATGTTATTTCTATCACTTAATTATACAACAGTATTAAAAAAATTATATAAAGTAAGCCATGAAATGTGAATGAAAATGAAAAATCAACATAACTGCTTCAAAATGTGTATTTTGGGTATGAATGTGTAATTTACGTTGTACGTTCCTCCCTTCCTCTTCCTCAGTCTTCTTCCTCCAGTCTTCCTTGAACTTAATTTGTTTATTTAAATGTAGATAAAATCAATTGATTGCAACCACGTACCTTAAAAAAAATTGAGAAAATTCAATCATGTTTTTCAATGGAGGTACAGGAACAGAGAGAGCAAAAACTGTGCATGCATGAATGGATTTGATATATATGCGTATCTAAAACAGGGGT